AACAATTTCTTGATGCTCTGGCCGTCGCAGAGGATAATAAACGACGTCCTACCTGCTGCATCGAGCAGGGTGGATAGGCGCAGGGATACTACTGCTCTGGCCTTCCCGTCTTCTTATGCCCCTTCTTGCGTTTTTTCATCCTTAGCGTACCGCTTTACTTTTATCCCCCCATCGTCAATCCCCCAGCTTTCTTCAATAGTCGCTTGTCTTCTAGTTTCAACACATATAGTCGCAGGGCGTCACTCCAATTCAGTCGACAAGTCCATGTTCAACCAAGCGGACAACATCAGTTCATTCGTTTCGCTTTGGAGTCCTCAATTCTCGCTAAGGCTGGCATGCCTCAACGTGAGCACTTTGCTACAGATTGGCCAACAGGCAGCACTTGCCCGCACACTAGAGACCCTATCGATCGATATTTGCTGTTTATTAGAAACCCGTCTGCAAGATTCGAGCGCCGTGCTTACCTTGCGATCCCCCACATGCGACACTGGCGGCACATTCTCATTGCGCCTGTCTGGCGATGATGCAGCTTCAAATGCAGGTCAAGCTGACGTCCGCATTGTTTTGAGTTCTTGGGCTGAAGCTGCCCTGATCGATTGGATCCCAGTCAACAGTCGGATGTGTGCCGTTAGATTAGCTGGTTGGTTCCATGTTACGAAGTCGCGCGGGATCAAACGGTGCCTGTATGTCATTGCGGCCTAGGCCCTTACAAACTGTAGCACTGATTCGGTGAAAGATGATTTCTATCAGCAACTTAACGATCTCTATCGTTACCGAAGAAGCACGGATGCTGTGGTGTTGGCTGGCGATCTAAACGTCCAAGTCGAAAAATTGTCCTCTGATGAGCTTCATCTGGGCGGCCAACATGGTGTAGACTCCCGTAATAATAACGGTGAGCGACTGCTACAGCTGTGTGAAGATGCGCGTCTCTTTCTAGCGAGCATAAACTTTCGACACAGCACCCGCAGAAGCGTGACTTGGCGCCCAGCAGTCTCAAGCCAGCCATGGACGCAAATCGATCATATCACGATCAGTTACTGCTGGAGAGTCTGTGTCCAAAACTGTTGCACGATTTGGAGCACGAGCGCGGATTCTGACCACGCACTTGTCTGCGCCGACCTCCGGGTGCCTTTCGGTGGACGCCCGCAACATCGATGAGAACGGATTGACACCAGCCTGCTGGCGAAGCCAGGTGTTCTGTATGTGTATCAAAGTGCCCTGACATGCGTGCTGAGTAAGCGCCCACTGAACATCGTCGAAGAGCACTGGTCGCATACTTATCAAACGTTACTATCAGCAGGCATGTATTCATGTAGCAAATCAAATTGCAGAACTGGACATCGGGTCTCTACACAGTCTCTGGAATCTATCGATGCACGCCGATGTATTCCGGCTGGAAGCGGATCCAATGAGGCAAGCAAAAAACTGCGTGCTTTTCTGAAGAAAGACCGCGAAGCCTGGTGATCTCATTGTGCCTCGGAGATGGAAACAACCGCTACCGTTGGCAATCACGTAAGGTATTCCGTCTCATACGGGAAACAGGCAGGAGATCTGGTGTTAGTGAGAGCAGACGCGACGAGAATGGACAGCCAATCCACAGCTTGTCAAAACGCTTGGAGCGTTGGGCCGAACACTTTGCAAGGCAGTTTAATCAATCTGAGTTATCGCATTCGATTTCGGGCCTTGAGAGCTCTTCTCTCTGGGCCGTCTTCTTAGATCCGTCCTCACGCGCAGAAGTCGAACGAGAGATTAGAAGGTTGAAATTGCATAAGGCCGCTGGTGCAGATAGAATTCTATCAGCTCTCTACAAATTCGGGGAACGGGCTCATGTAGATGATTTACACGAATTGCTAATGAAACTTTGGGAGCAGGAAACTGTCCCGATAAGCTGGAGCCGTCCAATCATAATCCCAATTTAAAAGGGAAGCTCTCGTTCGAAATGCGGCAACCAGTCTGATCATAATTGCCTCTAAATTGCTTGCTTCTGTCGTTCTCCACAGACTGGCGCTTGTAAAAGCCAGATTCCCGAGGAGCAAGCCGGGTTTAGTCGCAAGCGAGGCAGCATCGACCACCTCTTCACTTTGCGCCAATTGTTGGAGCACCGCTGTTTATTAGCTACCCACCGTCACCGTGTTTCTCGACATCAAAGGTGCCCCCGATTCGGTTGACAGATGTGCCCTTTGGGACTGTCTACTGAGGAAAGGTGTGCCTGATAAATATGTAAATATTATCAAAGCGCTGTACGCACATAGTTCGGGCAGGGTGAGGGTTTATGGTAAGCTGTCGCCACCCTTCAGTATCACCAGCGGTGTGAGACAAGGATGCCCGCTGTCACCTTTTCTCTTCAACTTCGCTATTGATGAAGTCATGGAAACAGCGTTCGCTGGACACGACCTAGAAGGTGTGGAGCTACTTCCTGGTGAGCGACTTCTTGACTTGGAGTATGCAGACGATATTGTCCTAATCTGTGACAGTTCCCAAATATGTCAAGCAGCACTGGACCGACTAGCACTGACTGCCAATCGTTTTGGGCTATGCTTTCTCTATCAAAATGTAAAGTACCTCACCAAGATTGGCAGGGACCCAACCCTGCACTGACCCTTGGTGGTGATCAGCTAGAAGTCGTTCAGGAATTCAAGTACCTGGACAGCTATATTAGCACCCGTGGGATCGAACCTGCGATCATAAACCGTATAGCAAAAGCTCGAGGTGCTTTTGCCAATCTCCGCCAACTGTGGCGCAAACGCGACATCACTCTCGCCCTGAAGGGCAGAGTTTATAACGCAGCCGTCCGCTTAACTCTCCCACATGGATGTGAAACCTGGCCCATCAGGTCGACAGACATAAAGAGGCTCGTCACATTCTATCATCGCTGCCTTCGCAGCGTATCTCATGTCTGGTGGGAGCACCGCGTGAGTAATCAGCGTGTTCGGCGTCGCGTTTTTGGTGCAGGAACAGCGAGTGAGCCGCTCAGTACTATTAGATCACACACCAGGCTCCGATGGCTGGGCTACGTGTTGAGCATGCCAGCACACCGGCTCCCACAGCGTGCGTTGTTTGCTCGCCGGGGGTGCGGTTGGAAGAGGAGGGAGGCCAAGCGATGACTACGTCGAGAGAAATGAAAATCTTCACTTCGAAGTTGGCGTCGGTTGGTGCATCCCGACTGCCTGGCTGAGGTCCTAAGGACGTTGAACATGTTTGGTTGGACATACTTGCTGATATGGCAATGAGTCGTCCCCAATGGCGTTTGTGTTGTGAGTTCCTTTGTCCATCCCTCCTGCTTAACCTCCCTCTCCAATCACGATCTCATTCGCTAGGCATAATATAGCTCTTTTTACGACACGATAGCCGGCTGTTAGCTCTCCGGAACGATGTCCCTTTGTTACTGGGAACTCAGCCGGCGTGCCACTGTATTTTTCTTGTCTTCCGTATTGCGGCACAATAGCTGAGGTGTTTTCCACCTGCAGCTAACGTGTATAATAATGATGAGGAGGATAACGCAACAAAGCCCTTCTTCACTCACTACGAATTCTAGTGTACTTCAGGCAACTATTTTGTCCCTTTCTTATTTTCCATTTAAGTTGCCACAATCCCCGTTAATGAAGAAGCTACATTCCTGAAGTGTGCGGGCGACATTATCTTTGGCATCCATCATCCAAGCTTAGAGTCATCGGCCAAACTACAAACTCTTCTAGACAACCTCACAGCTTGGTCTAAATCCCGTTGCCTACTGTTGAACACCTCAAAAAGCAAGGATATCCTATTTTCCCTATGCAAAGGAAATCGCTACCAGCAAATCCTGACACAGTGTCCGCCACTTTGCATTTATCATCATCATCAACAGTAGTACATCAGCCATTTGAACTGATACTTTGCTGCCATACAACCATGAGGACCTATGAAATAAAGAATAAGGGGGAGAAAAGGGGGACTTACCTGAAAACCTTAATATCCTAAGCAAACATTCAGGGTCAAGGCGCCTACACCTTGTGTAGGCAACATACCGTCACAAACAGCTGGCAATCGTGCAAAGATAAGACGGCATCGGCGAGACAGTTTTGCACTGACGGTGAAGGTTTGACCTCTTTCATCTCAGTGAAATAGCTGGGAGTGACTCTGATCAGTGGGCTTAGGTGGTCCATTCAGGTGAACGAAATATTCGCTAAAATTAGAAGACTCATTCTGTTACACGCCTCAGGTCATCGTCTGTACCCGTTTATTGATTCAGCGTTGTACTACTGTATGTGTGTTACCCTACTGGACCTATTGCTCTCCAGTGATCTTTCCTTGTCGCCTGAGTAAGGACCTCAAAGTTATTGTTAGATCAGTGAAGCATCTATCCCGATGCTGTATGGTATTGTATTGTATCCAGCCTTGTCAACTCTTATAACAAGCTTGGATTTAAAATACTCACTGATGTTAACCACCCCCCTCACATACACCCATACAAGGGCCTATGGCACCTCAGTAGTTCTCTGTTTGTCATGTTTTTTGAACGATAAAAATTCAAGTATTCAAAGACCGGTTGATAAATTACTCTAGTGATATCAGCTCTGTCAAGTTTTTTACGACTGTGATTTTATGTCTATCCTTGTGCACTATTTGTTCTCTTTGTTTATCCCCATCAGTGGCGTGTGTGTGTTAGAGCTGAATATTCATGCTTCATGAGTGGATAAAGCACATTTTTGACTTGACTGTCTTGCAGGATGCGTAACTGAGTGTAATCGTGACTGATGTTCGATCAAATTAATCCAAATCCCCCTTAACACGACTCATTGATTATTCGTGGTTTAGCGAATGAAGCATAAACATCAGAAAAGTAAGATGAAGTACGGAACGAAACGACTAACAATATTTGCGATCAAAACAGGGTACTGTTATGTAGAGAGATAAATGAGTGGAGCAAAAATCGATGCGAAATAAAATCATTGGACGTATACTTCGCTGGAGCTAGACGAGTGCAAAAAGTACTCGAATAGAAGGAGAATGAGCGAACTCACCTCAAACTGGCAAACCAACACATGACAATCGAGCAGGTTTCGTGTTACCGCGGAATCGATGTCTCCGGGTGTCAGGTGCTTGTTGGCTCCGGGGATAACTATTATGCGATTTTGTCCACGATCACACTCAACAATGACGAAGGCGACTCCTGTGCTGGCTCCCGTCGACTCAGTTACGCCATCTACACATTGACGCAAAGTAAAGGAAATGATTATATGACGAGATTGAGCCCAGCACCCGGTATAAAGTGTGGTAGCAATTAAAAGTGATGAACAGGCCGACCGAACTACGTTATATTCATAACAGCCTACAGAACACATCAGAAGGGAAATGATTTTTGTTAATCGCACGTAAATTGTAGATGTGCGATATTGTCACAAACACTGATTGTGCACCCAACTGTCTAAAACAGTATAGCTCACTGAAACAGTAAAATACGGGTATGTGCAATAATATGCCTACTTGAGCATAATGAAATGGAATTGACTGTGGCCTTGCTGAGCAACATGTACACGGTAAACGAATAATGAACGAAGATAGGTGGATGAACCAAAAAGGAACAGCATCGCCGGCAAATTCAAGTACAGGTTTAACCAACGAACAGCTCCGCATAACCATCCGCAGGGAAGCAGAAGCATGTCAGTCGGACCCAGCGCAGTGCAGCTTGAATCGCACTGCAGTTATGGTTGTTTAATGTGCAGATAGGCGTTCATGTGCGGGACATGTTGTAGCGAGGTGAAAACAGAGCGCTACCTATCACCCGCGCGCCTCACATGCTTCCGGGGCAGGCACTCGGTGAACATCTTGACTTAAGAGATGCTAGGTTCCACAACCGCCATAGCCGAAATATTCATCTTTCCTGGGTGTGTATAGGCCCATTCTGGACCAGACTTGATGTGTAACCCCGAATCTAGAATGAAAGCGCTATCCACTGTCAGTCGCCTAGCACTCCGTATAATCTTGTCGAGACTCAGATAGGCGAACAAATTCCGAACCAGAACTGCTGGAAGACCTTTCCGATAGGACGACAGCAAAAACAGCGAGATGTAAATGACGTGACGGTGAATAATCGCTTAATGCTTTACTCTCAGAGATTAATGGTCTAGCGGTCTGGACGTTAGCTGTCAACCAGTAAGTGCCGGGTTCCGCTCTCAGCTTTGGTTCTCTACCTGAAGATCCCAAGGATGAAAGCAATCACGTGGGGTAATAGTGGGGTGAGCTAACACCGGCCATAAGTTAATATAACCTACTTCCCCTCTTTATTCCTTATGAATAGGCTATTTAACTAATGTCATCATCATCACTGACAGCAGTACATCAGCCATTTGAACTGATACTTCGCTGCCATACAACCATCAGGACCTATGAAATAATGAATAAGAAGAGGGAGAGAAGGGGAACTTACCCGAAAACCTTAATGCCCTAAGCAAACATTCAGGGTCAAGGCGCCTACACCTTGTGTAGACAACATACCGTCACAAACAGCTGGCTACGTGCAAAGATAAGGCGGCATCGGCGAGACAGCTTCCTTGCGGCTTTCACTGCTCCGCGTCATAATCAGCCATTACCCCGCAGATAACTCAGCACCAAACATACTTTAAACAGGCAATCCGATTAGGAGACGGCAGCAGACGCACCACTGGTGTCGGTTGCGAGCCGTCCTGTAAAGTCTCGAGCCAAGCACAAGGCGAGTCACGTGGACTTCAGCCCGGAAGGCGAGACGGACCAACGGTACCCTGTTTGGTCGTCAGTGACTTCATTTCCCGCTGCCAAGTCAACTTCTGTCCACCGCGAGCCTTGCGCCACCCTACACCTGGCAGACTAAACAAAGCCCTCCTAGGTAAGCGGTGACCAGGCATACGTAGCACGTGCCTGAGCCAACGCAACTTATTCAGTGCTATCTGTTGTTCTAGGGAGCTAGCATGATTATCACTACCTAGTACTCGCCTACGCACATCATCGTTGCGGACACGCTGGTGCCATCCGACTCCAGCAATGCTACGCAGACAACGATGATCAAAGACTTGAAGGCGCCTCAGATCTTCAGACCGAAGAGGCCAAGTCTCACTAGTATACAGCAGAACGGCCTTCACTGTGGCCTTGTATACCCGGCCCTTCAGACGAAAGGAAACTTCCTTATGTCGCCAAAGATTCTGCAGGTTCAAGAAGGTAGCTCTGGCTTTTGAAATGGATGAGCTGACGTCAGTTTCTATGCGCCCATCATTGATGATGCAGCTGCCAAGATAAATGAAATGATCAACCACCTCGAGTTTTTTGTTAGCAAGCATCAAGGATCATCAAGTGGCTGGTGGTCCTGTAGCAACACTTTGCACTTTGAAGGTGCGAAGTGCATACCAAATAATGGGACCACTGTGGACAAGCTATTCAGGGTTGAAAGGACCGGCCCAGCATCGTCGAAAAGCAAGACGATATTGTCCATATAATGTAGACCAACTAACCATTCACCAGGCAGCACTTCAACGCCCAGATCGTGAGATTCCGCAAGGGAACACTCCAAGATAGATTCCACGACGAAATTGAACAAAAACGGGTAAATCGGACAACCCTGACGAACGCCACTTGTGGTCGGAAAGCTATCCGATAGAACGCCGAAAACCCTGACGCAGCCTGTGGTGTTCGAGTATAGAGCACGAAGGATGTTCACATATTTCGTGGGAACACCTTTCCGCGCAAGTATTTCGAACAGAATCGATCGATCGACTGAATCGAACGCACTCTTGAAATGAACGAACACAGCTATTGTCAAATTGCGGTATGCGTGGCGCTGCTCTAGCACCTGCCGCAAAGTGAATATATGGTCTATACAGCCACGTCCTGGGCAGAAACCGGCCTGCTCTTCCCTAATCCGAGATTCCCGTTCCGCAGTGAGACGATGAACGATAATCGAGGCCAATAATTTTGTCACAATTGGCGTTAGGCAAATACGCCTGTGGTTAGAACAGTCTGTGCGACTGCCCTTCTTGTAGATTGCCACTATGATCGATTCGCTCCAATTAGCTGGGACGCTCTCTTCTTTCCAGATACATTCGAATAAGGTCAGTGATTTGCAGAGGACCTCACCTCCATCCTTAAGTAGTGCAGGTGGGAGGGAATTCAGGCCAGCGGCACGAAAACGATTGAGGGCTGTGATCGCGTTTCGGACCTCGGCCTCCGACGGAGACACTAAACCAACCGTCCATGGCTCGTCCTGCATCACCTGAGTAGGAAGAGGTCCAGGAGCAGGGGGCCAGCTGAACTGATGTTGAAAGTGCTCCACCCAACGAGCCATACGGCGCTCCTTATTGTGTATCAGCGCACGTGCACTGTCTCTGATTGTCTCACTGACGACCGGGTTTCCTGGGACCAGTGGTGCGGATAAGCTGGAAGAGCTTGCGGTAATTGCCCACTGCTCCTGCCTCATCCATTTCTTGAGCCCGACTGGTCCACCAGGCTTCCTTGTCAGCACGCAGGCTCTGCTTCAGTTCACGCCTAATAGCCTGTCTGGTCACATTGTGTTCAGAGCCAGCCGGGAGGTGTCTTCTAGATTCCAACAGGTTCACCGACCTCTCGGATATCCAATGCCTGGTGCGGTGATGACTGATAGTGCCACAAGCAGATACTCCTGCGTCGTGCATGGCCACCGAGATCCTATTCCACTGAAGCTCAGCGTCATTAGGACAAGACTGCGGAAGTTCAGTATGCAGTGCGTCTTGATAGGCTTGCCTGACCGAGGACTGAGACAATTTCTCCGTTGCCAATCGTAGGGCACGCTTGGTGCGCCTACCGGTGAAGTTCATGGAGAAACGACAGCGTACCAAAGCATGATCAGAGTAGACACAGGTACTCCAGTATGAGCGGCAATCCAGGATGGAACCAGGCCATCTGTAACTTATGGCAATGTGATCAATTTGGGTCCATCGCTGGTCAGCTACAGGAGGACGCCAAGTGGCACTTCGGCGCCCACTGTGTCTAAAAGCAGTGCTAGTAAGAAACAACTGGTGCTCCGCACACAGTTGCAGCAGACGCTCACCGTTGTCAGTCCGTTCGGAGTTAAGCCCACACTTACCACTTAGCTGAGCCTCTGAAGAGCTCAGACGCCCTACTTGTGCGTTCATATCCCCTGCAAGTACTATAATATCTGAACTAGTAGCAATGCGTAATAGCGCATTCAGTTCGTCATAGAATGTGTCATTGACAGCATTAGAACTGCAGTCGGTGGGAGCATAAGCGGAAACCACAAACAGTGCTTTGTACTACTTCGTGAATCAACCTTAGCTGATGTCGTCAAACGGGCTGCACATAAACGGCTGTTCACCGGAATCCAATCAACCAACGATGGCTCAGCCTTGGAGCTTAGAATGATACCTACACCAGCTTGACCCGTGAGTGCTGCATCGGCGTCTCCGGATGTGTGCAACCAATAACGAGAGGATAAGCCGGGTGCAGTCAATTCAATAACCCCGTTAGGGTCATTAATCCTAGTTTCGGACACACAACACACATCAATACCTAGTGTGTCCAAGGTGTGTGCGAGTGCAGCCTGTTGACCTGTTTGTCTTAGAGTGCGAACATTGAATGTCGCCATGGAAACAGGATAGCGTGGCCTTATAAGGGACTTTTGCCGATAGGCGTCCGATAGGTGCTGTGGGATGGTGGCTGCAGATGGTTCTACTCCAGTGTCAATTAAGCTGGGAATTATAGAAGGAAGGTTAGCAATGGGGGTCGGGATGGCAGTAAGAGAAAAAGGTGGAACAGAAAGAAGGGAGGCGCCAGCAGTAGCATGTTTTCGCATATCCGCGCTGCCGTATGAAGCAGATATGGCGATCCTTAATAATCTGCGCGACGGCCGATGCAGTATGAAGTTTATGTTTGAAGAAAATGTCATGGTTGTATGTGGGCTGAGATACTGCCAAGGGGTCCAGACCTATACAGGAGGACGATTAGGGTCCTCATCCAAAGCCTTTGGTTCAAAAGCCTGTCCGCAAGGCAGCGGGGAAGTGGTAATGATTTAGTTTTACAGAAATGGACACCATCCCATTTCAAACCCCCAACCTGGAGGACCAGGAGACTGAGTTTGTCTAACCTCTCACCATTGACCAAGCTGGTAGGAGTAGCTCTCAAGGTGCCCGGAGGTATCACCCAGTATAGCTCAATGGGTCAATGAGGTACGCAAACCGTCGCACCACGTTAAGGTCCAGTCTCGTGACGGTAGTGCACGGTAGCGAAGCATTAACACAAAGCTGGTATAATCCTGTTGATGATAATGACGCGGAATAGCATCACTAGGTGGCCTGGGGTAATAAGACAGAATAACTGCTGCTCAATGGTGTGCCTCTGGTGGGTGAGGTGCACAATTGCCAGAGCCCACGCGCAGTTGATCGCTGCCAAGGTGGAAAATTATGTAAATTCTTCCGAATCTTGTAAAACCGCGCGTGTCCGGCGTCAACAGATACCAACAGATACCGTGTTGGACTCCGACGGGTGGCCATAGGGGGAGGGCGGAGAGTCTCGAACAAATTCCATCAATTGGGAGGAGCAGCGAGTAAGAGTAACCTTCCGAAAGAACCTCGCAGCCAACGTTCTATCCAGTCTTCTTCTACTAGTTGACATGGCGAAGAGCCAGCCCCAATTGCGTTTGTGCTGTGTTTCTTTTTCCATTCCCATTCCAGTCATATTCTCATATGCGATGCTCAATATGACACAAGCAGCAAACTACGTGGCTGGTTATATACTGCATAACAAATAAAATGTTACAATGTTCTCAGCCTTTGTCAGGCCATACTTGGAGTACTGCGAGCAGGCCTGTCCTCCATGCTTGGTACGCGACAAGCTGGCACTTGAACGAGTTCTGAGGGTTGGCACAAAAGTGGTACAACGATTAGGCATCTCTCGTATCCTGATAGGCTGCTCAGGTTGCAAATGTTTTCACTGTACCATAGGCGCCTTCAGGGAAACCTGATTCTTACGTACCGTATATTGACCGGCAAGAATGAGCCTGATCCAACTAGACTGTTCCATCCGGCTCAGATACCATCTCTTCGTGGTCACCCTCTGAAGCTGCATAAGCCCAGATCTGATCACATTCATTCATCATCATCATCATCATCTGATCGCGTTAGAGCTGACTTTCGTTTAGCACGCAAGGTTATGGACTCATGGAACGCACTACCCAGCGAAGTAAGATTAGCATCAACAATAAAGGAGTTTGAACATCGACTCGACGTCCTTGGTTACAGTTTCAGACCTTTCCGTTTGGTTCTTAACTTCTACATCCATTTCCTTGGCTTCTCACATCTATTATTATTATTATTTCTTATCCACACATTCTTTCATGTACTACAATTATCAGTATTCTGTTTTTGTTGATTCCCTTCTCTTAGCCTTCATTCTTATTCATGTGGCCGGTGCAGCGGCGACTGCTAGTGCAGGCCGCGTGGGCATTGATTGGTTGATCACGATGTGAATCGTCCGTATTGATTTGGCTCTTCTCTGTTGCAAATCGATCCCGTGAACTCCATCCTGGTTCAACGACGCATTGAAGAAGGAACACAATTGGAAATTTTCTTACCGTTCCTGTCCAAATTGAACTTGAGCTTGAACTTGAATGTCACCAAGTGTATCCAGCCAAACGTGCTCATCGTCCTTCGGTTCCCCAACCAGGAAGCCGAGATGCTCCAACTGAAGCTAACTTCGAAGTAAGGGCCTTCATTCCTCTTGACCAAGTCATCAGTTGGCCACCACTTCTCATTTGCCATCCGCACCCCCGGCGCGCAAACAAAGCAAGTCGCGGGAGTCATTGGGCTGGCATGCGCCACATGTGGCCGTCATTGGATTGTAGAGAGCAGAAAGAAAGTCCTTTGTCAGCTCCTTCACTTACCAATTGTTACGTGGATGCCGTGAGTCGCTACGAGACGGTATTCCACAAGGGGCCGTAACAGTTACATTGGAAGAAGCAAGGTCCCAGCTTACTCATCAAGTGAGAATCCAAAAATCGCTTGAAACATTGCTCAGTCTGCGTGTCGACATGTTTCGGCAAGTCGTTCCAGTCATTTACAATGCGGGTTCATAGAGCAAGAGTGGAGCGAACTCTGAGTCTTTTGTGTTTAAATAGTTTCTAGTTGTGCCCCCGAGTGGAACTATTAGTGTTGACTTGAAAGAACGCTTGTAGCTCCATCCCCATTTCCCCCAACAGAATTCGTTTAGTAAAAGTCATTAAAGAGACCTGATAGAAACCCACAAAACGAGTTTCAGTAGCATTAAGACTACCGACCTATTTGAACGAGTCACATCAGAGCACCTGGGGGAACATCCTCTGAATCTCATGCAACAGAGGTCCAGACTGGATATGCGGACGAAATGTTTTACGAACTGCGTTGTGCGTAGCTGGAATTTACCCTCCCGAGCTATTACATTGTTTTACCGTAGAGGTTTTTGAAAGAAGCCCGGATATTATTTTGCCGACTTCGTTTCCGAAAATGCACTGAGGTGAGTCGGTGTACACTAATTATCCCGTGGCCAATAGGATGCCTTGATGGATTGGTCGTGCTCTTTAGTTAACTCTGGTTGTAGAATTCGGGTTTGAATGTTAAGGTGCATGGGAGATTGGTTTGCTTGCTGGTATACGAAACGAAACGCTCGTTAGACAAAGTCCTGTTCCTCCCTAAAAAATGGACTCGAACTAACTGGACCACAGTGCGTGCAAAAGACAAGAAAACGTGTACAATACTCACGTGATGCAATGCCAAGAGCGTCGAGCCGGGAGACAAAATTTTTCCCAAAAGAATCCGAGCCCACCTCGAAACTTAGTTAGAAAATAAAAAGTCACCTTGGCCACCAGAGCCACTTCGCAGCCAAGTACTCGAGCCGCAACAGATTGGTTGGCACCTTTCCCACCGAGACCCATAGTAAATGACGTGCCTATGACTGTTTCTCCTACATTTGGAAACACATTTGTAAACCTATAAGTGCATGTTTTGAGAAAACAGCAATACAAACGCCGATAAATCACTATTACAAGAACCAACTACAGTAACGTCAAAAAGAACCATATTGCACGCTATCGGGACCGTGGAGACCGCAAACCGCGGTATTTCGAATACGGGAGGTTGCTCATCAGAACAATTGGGTTCTGAGTTCTCTAAATGTATGGGTTTATTGTAGTTAATTATTGCGAAAGGTGATCAGGAGGAGATCCGGTACCCAAAAAAGCTGGAAACTATGCCCTAACATGCTTAATTGCGAAGTCGTAAAAATGTGAAAAGTTAATATATAACTGTTCGCAAGCGGTTAGTTCGGTTCAGTTCAGATGGGACTGGAACGATAGAAGAATCCCGTGAGTGTTCCAGTTTGAGTGGATCGTTGAGCCAGGAATTGATGAAGTGCTCAGTTATTGATGGATCTAAAACGGAACACCGTATCGCACCCTGGCCAACCAGTTAATGCCCACGGAGCAGGGTAAGCACTGGTCGGTGAGGAATCCAATCATTCCGGCCGATAATATTGCCATTTATTATGCTCAGCCCAAAGCACCAAACGTTTTGACTAATTGGGCATCGGCTGCCCACTGTATTCACGAATTGTTTTATTAACACAAGGTCTTCTGCTGCCCATTTCCCGTATCAGATGGAATAAGTTTTGGGGGTTACCAAGGGCAGCGGCTAATTCCATCTCTGTCGTACGAAGACACCACCAGGATTTGCGGTCTCTCTTCAGGCTAGCACAGAGTTTTGGCCAGAGCCCGTTGCAATTTTCATTGTGTTCGCTTGCAGCCGGGATATGCCGGCGAGCAACGATAAGTTCCAGAGACCTCGAAGAGACCCAATATCCATGTCGGCCATTAGACTTAAAACATGAGAATTTGCCTGCTGCTAGTAAGGTCTGCGGAACATGAGACCAGTGGCCATCAATTGTCTCCAATGAGCGCTTACTCAACTTGCATATCAGTGTACTTCGATACGCATTCAGAACAGCTGGCTTTGTCAGTTGGCTGGTGTCAATGCGCTCACAGCGTCGTCGTGGGCGTCCGCCAAAACGCATCCGCAGGTGAGGACATACGAGTGCATGGTCGGTGGCCACACATGCGCCTCAAATCGTTTGGCAGTTCTGGATGCAGCCTCTACAGCGGTTACTTATCGCAATGTGATCGATTTGCGTCCATAGCTTGTTCGAGGCTGGTGGGCGCCAAGTCACCGTCCGGCATGTGCTGTTTCGGAAATTAAGGCTCGCAAGAAATAAGCGGGCATCTTCCCACAAATGAAGTAACCGCTTGTCGTTATCCCTACGGGTGCCTACACCATGTTGACTGCCCAGATGCAATGCAACAGTGGATAATTTCCCAACTTGAGCGTTCAAATCCCCAACCAGCACAACAGTGTCTAAGCTTTTTGGTGGCGAATTAGCTCGTTCAGGTGGCGGTAGACGTCGTTATTTAATGAAGCATTGCTACAGTTTGTGGGCGCGTAGGCAGCGAAGCTGAATACACCCGCTTAACTTCCCGCTTAACTTCGAAGCTTTGAACGAGTCAGCCAATCGGATCACACACCTCCGGCTACTGACTGTGATCCAATCAACCAGAGCAGCTTCAGCCCGGTGATTCAGGGTAATGCCAACACCAGTTTTTCCGGTGCCCGAAACTGCATCGTCACCGGATAGGCGCAATGGAACAATAATACTGTTGTCAATTGAAGGGGATCGCAGAGGGAGCACAGAGCTCCAGTCCTGCAGGCGGGTCGCCGATAAACAGCAGATATGGATGGAGAGGGTCTAGTATGCAGGCAAGTGCTGCCTGTGGAATTATCTACACGATGTTCGTACTTTGAGGCATGCCAAGCTAAAGGCGGACCGAGGGCGCCAAATGGAAGCAGCTGAACTGGGGTAGACCGCTTGTTTTTATATGCGCTTGGCGACAGGCTATGAGTGACGCTCGGCGTTTGCTTTTGAGTTGAAACTCAAAGATACATGTTTAGCAAAGCAAGTTTGGGAGGGATAATGATCGGGGGTCGAAAACTGGGGGATAAAAGTGAAGTTGGAACATGACTATAAGGGAAAAATGCGTAAGTGGTGGAATAACAAGACGGGAAGGCTTGTGCGATAGCATACAAACCCTATCCACCCTGCTTGATGCAGAAGATAGGGCACTTATGATCATTCTCTGCGGTGGCCAGCGCATCAAAAGCTCGGTTGATGTAAGCTTAATAGTATTGCGTGGGCAGGATACTTTTGGGTAGCCCAGGGCTAGACAGGAGAACGATTATGTTTCTCAACCAAAGCCTTTGGTTTAAAAACCTGACCGCAAGGCGGTGGGTTTGGCGTTAGGTTACAAGGAGTCCGTTTTAAGGAAATGGGAGCCACCTTTGTTTCAAACGCAACCTGGGGGACCGGGAACCTGAGTTTTTTGGCCCCTAACCATTAACCAATCTGGTAAGAGTGGCGCTGAAAGTGCAAGAAAGCACCACTCAGCATAGCTCAGTAGCGCAATGAGGCAAACAAACTATCTCTACACGGTAAGGTCCAGCATCATTGTGGTAGCCGGGTTTGAACTAACAGGTGGCGAAAGAATTAGCTGGGTTAGATCTCAGGTTCTTGTAGTTTATGCCTGACGTATTGAGAACTACGCTACTGTAATCCACGAGAAACTTTTAGCAAAACGGAAAGGAAATCAAGGCCGAATTTGAGCGACACCTGTGTAATATTTTGCGACCCGCAACCTCTATTAAAACTTCGGTTCTTTTTGAGGCAAACATCGGGAATTCTGATTGCCGGGACCGTACCCGAATTAGAAATATTTGGTTGTTGCTTCTCCAAACACTGACACACCAGGACCACGTTTTCATCCGGGTTTAGGCTCATCAGTTGGCGATATCATAAGATAAGGTGGAATTCATGGCCTAGCGGTTAACGGCCGATGGCCAGAAATCTACACTACTGAGATCCGCAAGCAAGGCTTGGCAGAGCGGTAAGGAATTCAAAGTTAAATTTTGAGTACCCGCTGTGTGGTTGGGTTAAAAGACTCATCATTTTAAGACCCCGTTTCACTTTGAAGCAAGCCTCGGTCATTTTGATCGCGAGGTTCGTATCCGCAATAAAAGTATTTAGGTGTTGCTCTTCCCAACACTGGCACACCCCGACCGCGTTTTCCCTCCGTTTCTGGGATAGCCTGAACTGTGGTTATTTTATGGCCTAGTTGTTCATTGCTGCGCCCTGGAAACTAACCTAGTGAGATCCGCAAGCAACGCTTGGCACAGAGGAAGAAACTGATGTTGAATTTAAGGAATCAGCGGTGTCGTTGGGTTGCGACACGGAACCTCGGTGGAGACTTTAGTTTACTTTGAGGGATACCTTGGTCCTTCCGATGGCATGGACCGTATTCGTAATAGAAATATTTGCCTTTATTTAACGAGAAAGGAATACAATTTGAAGTTGGAACTTGCTGTGTGGTTGCGTTTCGCGAAGCAACCTCTATGGAGACTTCGGTTCTCCTTGAGGCAAACTAACATCCTTCCGATTACAACGAGCGTATTCGTAATAGAAATATTTGCGCGTTTCTATTACCATCATTTGCACACCATGACCGCGGTTTCGTCCTTGTTTTAAGTTAATAGGTGGCGCTAGCCTGAGCTAATGATGCACTCAGAACCTAGTAGTTCCC